TCTATTCATTAAGATCACATTTTCCTTCAATTATTTCAATATATTTTTAATAGCTCCTTTTTTTATTTTGTTATTTTTTTAATATAATGTTTTTAAAATTTACATCCAAATTAGTTAGCATATGGTGCAACTATGATTTCCGGAGTAGATTCCTTAATGCCCCTTACCCATTCAGCCTATCCCCCCTCCCACACCCCCTCCAGTAACCCTCTATTTGTTCTCCATATTTATGAGTCTCCCATGCTTTGTCCCCCTCCCTGTTTTTTTTTTTTTTAATTTTTAAAAATGTTTGTATTTACTTTTGAGACAGAGAGAGACAGAGCATGAGCAGGGGAGGGGCAGAGAGAGAGGGAGACACAGAATCTGAAGCAGGCTCCAGGCTCTGAGCTGTCAGCACAGAGCCCGATGTGGGGCTTGAACTCATGGACTGTGAGATCATGACCTGAGCTGAAGTCAGACACTTAACCGACAGAGCCACCCAGGCGCCCACCCGCCCTGTTTTTATATTATTTTTGTTTCCCTTCCCTATGTTAATCTGTTTTGTCTCTTAAAGTCCTCATCTGAGTGGTCATAGGATATCTTTCTCTGACTAATGTCACTTAGCATAATACCCTCCAGTTCCATCCACGTAGTTGTAAATGGCAAGATTTCATTCTTTCTGATTGCCAAGTAATACTCGTGTGTGTGTGTGTGTGTGTGTGTGTGTGTGTATATATATATATATATATATATATATATATATATATACACACCACACCTTCTTTACCCATTCATCCATCGATAGACATTTGGGCTCCTTCCATACTTTGGATATTGTTGGTAGTGCTGCTATAAACGTGGGGGTGCATGTGTCCCTTCAAAACAGCACACCTGTATCCCATGGATAAATGCCTACTAGTGCCATTGCTGGGTCGTAGGGCAGTTCTATTTTTAGCTTTTTGAGGCACCTCCATACTGTTTTCCAGAGTGGCTGCACCAGCTTGCACTCCCATTTAATAGCTCCTTTAAAGCCACCGTCTACTAAATCCAACATCTGGGCTACCTCAAGGTTGCTTTCCATCAGTTTATTTTTATGGCCCTTACTATGGACCACATTTTCCTGTTTCTTTGCATGTCTGATAATTTTGTTTTGTGTCCTGGACATTTTAGATGATATGATTTAGAGACTGGATTCTGTTGTGTTTAGAGACCAACCTCTTCCCTTGAGGAGTGTTAATTTTTTGTTTTTGTAGGCAGTTCAATTACTGGCTGATCACTCTGAATTTATGTAGCCTTGGGTTTTTTTTTTTTCTTTGTTATGGCATATTTGTGAAAAGCCTAGGTGTTACCTAAACCTTCTAACTTGGTAGACTCAACTTCCAAACTCTTCTTCCTGTGGATTTTAGTTTTAGGGAAAGTCTACAGCTGACAGAGATCGTCAGACTATTGTTCGCAGGTCACACACAGCTCACTGTTTTTATAGTTAAACTTTTATCAGAACACAGCCACATCCATTCATCTACTATGGATTCCTTGATGTGACACACTGGCAGCGCTGAGTATCTATCATCACTTCTGTGATACGAGATTGTCTACTTCTCCTTGTAGTTCTATCCGGTTTTACTTTATATTTCATGTTTGGAATTTTGTATTTCCTGACGAACTGAACATTTTATCATATTCTATGGTAATCGTTTGTGTCTCTAGTGATTTTTTTTTTATCCTAAGGCTTAGCTTTTTAAATATTAATATGGCTATAGCAACTTCCTTTGGTCAGTATTCAACTGACAGAACTTTCTTTATCCTTTGAGTTAATTCTTAAAAACTAACGTGTACATTGTTTAAAAAGCCAAACAGTCCAAAAAGCTTCATAATAAACACTTGTAGTTCCCCACACCACTCTTCACCATGCTTCCCACTCCCTGAAGTCTCCCTTATCAAGGCAAATACTTTTTGACTCTCTCCTTACTTCTAAATAATATGCTTGTACTACAATATTTTAGTTAGTGATTTTTAGACTTGTATCTATTGATTTCCTATTAATGTATGGATTTAGCTGTCTGATATGACTATCCCCTAAACTCTCCTCTACCCATTCTAATATAATTTTTGAGTCAGTAATTTGGGGGGAGGGTTCTATTATTATGGTTATGCAATTTTCTAATAGCTGAGTTTTTTTTTTTTATTATACTATGATTTCACTTCCTTATCTTTTTAGCTCCTGAAGTTGACAATTGCCTTGATGTTTGTTTTGTACTCATTAATAATTTCTGTGCCTTCTTAGGATTTCATTTTCTTGGAGGCATGTTCTAAATAATTCCATTCTTCTTATTTTTGGATTCTTTTCAGGCCTGTTGCAGAGTTGTCATCCCGGGAGTCTGTTGTCATCCTAGGTATTCTTCCTTTCCTCTGATTAGAATTCTGTTTGTTAGATTACATTGTCTTACTTTTTCTCGGTTTGCTTAATCTTTCTTGGTTTGTTTGGTTTGATTAAAAAATAATAGGAGGGGCATCTGGGTGGCTCCATTGGTTAAGTGTCTGATTTTGGCTCAGATCATGATCTCATAGTCCATGGGTTCGAGCACTGTGTTGGGATTCTGTCTGTCTCTCTCTCCCTCTTTCTCTGCCTCTCTCCCACGCGCACTCTCTTGCACTATTTCTCAAAATAAATGAACTTAAAAAAATAATAATAATGGGAGATGTTTCCCTAGTAACTTTTTTGGGTTAGAAAGGCAGTGATTCAATAACTGGTGCAGTAATGCCAGCCCTCGAAATGGCCCTATTCTTTTAAGCTATAGTGATCTAATCTACACTTGTCCTTTATGGCAGTTGCAGTACGAATGTGGGATCTCCCTTCACCATCTTCCTTTACCTTTGCTTCTCTTCTGTGTTGGATTGCCTGTTTTCTGTGTGTATATATTCTTTTTCTGTTTTTGGTTTATGCCCTCATTTTGGAAGGGTATGTCCTCCAGTAGCTTCTTGAAAAAGAATGCATGGGATGCAGAATTTTCGAGATTTTATGTGTCTGCAAAAGGGTTTATAATCACACACTGAGCAGTTTAGCTGGGTATAGGATTGTAGATCGGCATATTAGTTCAGGAATAGACCCCATGCACTATAGTTCAAACAAGATAGTTTATTTCTCTCTTATATTGACAGTCCAGGAGAAGCAGGCAGGAAGACAAGGCTGCCCAGCGCACAACATATAGCTTCTTTCTAACTTATTGTTCCACCATTCCCTAGGTCAAGCCTAAGCCAATTTACCAGCAACACATCTTAATTCAAGTCCTTGGAAAAGGGAGACAGGAAGTGGAGAGCAAGCAATTTCCTTTAAAATTGTGACCGAGAAAGTTGCACACACTTTGCTCATGTCCTTTTGGCCTCTGTGGGGTGAGGTTATTTTCTGGTTCATCTTTTCACTCAACACGTTGCCTTTTCAGATCCTCTTTTTACAGAGGGGTCCAGATCCAACTTTCACGTGAGGGCTCTGGTATTCAATTTCTATGTTCTGGTGTGAAGCTCATTAAAACCCCAAATTCCAGGCTCCAGAGATCAGCAGAGGCCCTAGCAGCACCAGCAGCTTAAGCCTTAGGGTTTCCCAACACCAAGTAGCATGCCCACCCCTCACCACTGCCTCAAAGCCCTGGGTGGACTGGCCCTGCCATCTTGCTGCACACGTCGCCCCCTCTTTTTCACACAGCAGCCTCTAGCCCCTCTGGCTTCCCTGCCATTCCTAGAGCCCACTGTGCTCTTTCTCACCTCATGGCCTTCCCACATGCCATTCTGTCTGCCTGAAAGACTTTCTCCAGAGATATCCATCCGACTTTCTCCCTCCCCTCATTCTGCTCAAACACCACTGCCTCTGAGACTCGCACCGAGCACTGCAAGCGAAAATGGACCCTCGTCACTACCCTACTACCCAGCTTTACTCGCTCTCAGAACACCCACCACTCCTGACGGGGTATCGTATTGATTTGTTCACGGTCCGACTCTCCCACTAGGTGTGTGCCCAGGTGGTTGATTTTAGAAAGTGAATCCAGGGAGGAGTGACAGGAGGAATGTGAACAGAACGATGCAAGCGTGTGTTAGTGAGTCAACCACCCCCAGGATCTTCTGAGGAGACTGAATGGTGGCTCAGAATTCTGTCCGGAGCACACAAAGAAACCCGTATCCCTCAGCTGCTAGCTCCTTTGGTCAAGGGTAGACCCCACAGTGGTTTAATTCCCCTGGACTTCTGGGTTGCTTATGTGTCAGAGAAGCTCCAGGTAAGAGGCTTCTGAGGTGAGGCCATGTCAGACTGTCCCCGGGCAAAGCTGCTGAAAATCCACGTGGGAATGGTCACTGCAGCAGTGGCTGGAGTGAGAGAGGGGCTGAGAGAGACGAGGAGGCAGGGGCCTGTATGGAGATCTCTTGCTGCTTTCGCCAAGCACTTAGATGAGCAGCCGGCATGCGGTAAACACCCACTGAATATTTACTGAATGGATGAAAGGTGCTGCGGTCTAGAGGGTAGGCAGGTAGCAATGAGTCAAGAAAATAAAACTCAAATAAAACTCAGATCCGGAAGATGAGCAGGTTAACTGCACAGCTGCCTTGCAGAGCACGTGTACATCTAAGCAAAAATACCAGCGACAGACATCATAGTAACATTTACCAAAGCTCTTTCCATGGGCCGATTTTCTTGAATACTTGATGGGTCTGGTTATTTAATCCTATAACATGAAAACTGACCCGTTTTACCCAGGGGAAACCTGAAGCCCAGAGAAGTCAAGTGACTTGCAGTGACAGGGTAGAGGTAACCACTTCCCTTGAGGGGTGACCGGAGCCCACAGCAAGGCAGTGACTTGCCCACAGTCATGAGAAGTCAATGGCAGAGCTGGGACTAAAACCCAGGTCTCCCAACTCCTGGGCTTGTGTCCCTGTCCCAGAGCTGGCCAGACAGACCAGGGGCTCAGAAAGAACGAGTGGGGAGGAGGGTGAACTACACGCAGCCAGGCTGAGCGGGGCGGGCACTGCCTCCCCAGCTATTACCAGAAGAAGCTAGGCCGGCTGCGGTCCCGGAAGAAGCTTCCCCGCAACCCCCAGCAAGCAGACACCTTGGAGGTCCCGGAACGAAGGGTCCTCAGGATCCTGAGCCGGCTGAAGCAGCAGAACTATGGTGAGGGCCTTGGGCATGGTGAGTTCTCCGCATTCCTGCCCGCCTGGCCTCTCCCTGGGCCCCCGCGGCCACACCTCGTTGCTGCGTGACATGGTTGCCCACGTTGGGCCTACCTGTGGGCGGCAGTCAACGGGCTGCAAATCGCTCCTCCGCCTCTAGCTCTCTGACAGGGGCCCCCTGCGCTCTTCCCCCAGGCCTTAACCCTGAGCACATGTTGGTCCCAAGAGCCTCAACTGAGAACGAAGGGTGATTGGCCATCCCAGCTCACCATTTACTGAACACCCACTGGGGTCACTCCCCATGCTGGGACTTCGTACAGGGGCTAGAATTTAGCCCTTGCCATCACGTTCACCCCGTTTTACAGAAGAGAACAGTGAGACAGAAGTTTAAGCAACTTGCCCAAGGCCCCACAACTAGCGTGTGTCAGAAAGGGCAGTGTGGACCCAGGTCTGATTCCAAAACCTGTGCCCTTTTCACTGGGCGAGGCTGCCTCCCCATAATCGCAGGTGCCACCAATTAGATCCCTACTGTGTGCCAAGTGATGGGCTAGGAGCTTTCCAGAGTCTCTCCGGTGTACTGACTGGACCGCCAGGACCCATCACAAAGACGTGTCCTCCTGTGCAAGCCGTTATTAGCCCTCACACCGTGCTCAGGATTTAGCCGAGTGCTCCGCGCGTGTTGCCCCTTTAATCAGCTCTGAGAGGTGGGCACCACGATCACCTCCAGTTTACCCAGAGGCTCAGAGAGGTTAAGCGATTTGCCCAAACCCACCCAGCTCATTATGTGGCAAAGGTGGGATTTCAGCTGGGTGGGCCAGCCTCCCGAGGTCGGGTGCGCTCTGGAGCCTTCCCCTCTTCTGACTCCTCCTCCCTTTCCAGCTGCCAATCTGCAGAGCCCCTACGCCCAGGTGCCCTGCATCCCACTCTATCCGCGGCTGGACAAGAAGATGGCCCGACGGAAGCAGGGCAGCCACTACGTGCTAGATCAGTGTACCCCCACCAGCCTGGGCCCCGACATCCGTAGCCTTTTCTTCCAGTCAGGATCTCAAGGAAGCAGGTGGGTGTCCAGAAGGCAGGGGCTCCAGCCCAGGCCCATCCACCTCCTTCTTTATGAGGCGCTGGCCTAACCCGAGGGGAATCCAGCCTTCCAAGAGAGGATACCTGGGACACTGCTGCTCTAGGGAGGAAAAGGGGGAAAGGACGAAGCAGTAAGAAACGAACCTTTGTTTGAACACTGTGTGCCACGGCGATCGTGCCTGTCACAGCACTTACGCCTTCCTGTGCCCAGACTCAGCGGCACATGCTGTCCTTCTCTTAGGCTGGCACCGCCTGCCTTCCCCACACAGGGGGTTTAGCTCTCAAGTCCTTTGCCTGCGTCTGACTCCCGTGTCAGGAGCAGCAGGCAACAGGGACTGCTGGGTGGAGGAAAGCTTCACCCGCCAGTCCCCTTCCAGGCACCTTGGGGGGTAAAAGAAGTCTGGACTTGCAATCAGGCCCCCGAGCCTGACTGCTTGGCTCCATCACTTCCCGGGGAAGGCCTCCTCTCCCCTGGGACACGTGGGGATGGCTCGTTTCCTCCCACCCTTCTCGCCTCTCTCCCTAGGGAACACAACTCAGAGAGCCGAAAGTGGCTCAGCTCTGTGCCAGCTCGAACCCACTGACCTACGGAGTCTACTCGGGGCAGCTGCTGTCCAAGGCCTGCAGATGGACAGGTCATCAGGCAGGTACTGCTGCCGAGTTTTGCTTTTGTGGCCTGGTAAGCCAATAAACACCGAGAACCTCGGCCTCTGCGTCTGGCGCCAGGGAAGGCCCCCACGCTTTCACCCCTCCACTCGGCTCTTGGCCTGCAGGGCCCTGGCTTCCCCCAGGCTTGGGACACCCTGAAACGAGACACACCTCACGACCCTGCCCAGGGTTAGGGCGCCTGCTAGAGGGGCCCAGGGTGCAAAGTCTTGACCTCCTACGCACTCTCGAAGCACAGAGCTGGGACTCGCCGCAGAGGAGTGTCTCCCCTTTTGGACTAGGATCCCCACGAGGACAGGAAGCATCTCTCCCCTCTTGCTCGAGGGGAGCGGTAAATCCAAGGGGAGTACCTGGGAAAGATTCTGGACCCTGAAAGGGGCAGCCAGACCCTGCAGAAGGGCAGGAGGGGGTCTCAGCCATGCTCTCACCAACGGAGCCCCAGGACCCATGGGGGCCCTTCTCTTGAAACCTAAGGGTGTGTGGGTCTTTGCCCCCCAACCCACATGCCACCCCAGGCCTACTTCTCTAACCAAGAATGAGCTCCTCCCTGGGACTGAGCAGGGGCAGCTCCCCCAGCAGTTAAACAGGCAGGCACAGCAAGAGGTTAGGAGGCCAGGGACTGAAATGAGGACAAGGCTCTGACAAGTTTAAAACATGTATTTAAAATACAATTTATAAAATGCTTAATCTGCCGACTCAGGAGCCCGCGGTGCGGGGTGGGGTGGGGTAGGCAGCTGCCCGCTAGACCAGCAGAGCAGGACTGCAGGGGTGCGGCCCTTCCTCCCATGCCCTTCTGTTCAGACACCCAAGGGGCCCATGTGCACCCCTGGGATCACACGGCCAGAAAACAGGACCCCAGAGGTTTCCAGAGTCTCTGCTTACCAGGGAGGCTGGGGCAGCCCTGCCGGCCCATCCCTGAGCAGAGCATCCCCACATGGGGCAGAGCAGGGTATGGCTGGGCTGGACAGGGCAGGGCGGGGCAGTGGGCTCTGGAAGGGGCTGATGGTAGCAGATAGGGTGTTGCCTCCTGCCTGCAGGTGGGGAGCACCCTGATTGAGTGGGCTGAGAAGGGTTGGTCACCAGGCCCGGACCCCCAGCTCCTTTGGTTATAGGCTGACATCAGAATAGTGGCTCATGGGAAGCGGTTAGCTGGAAGGTCTGAGGCCTGGCTCACGGGGTCAGGGAGGAGCTGGGGGAAGGGGACAGTACCATGAAGGCAGATAAAGGGGCAGCAGCCTCAGGTTTCTGCCCCCCATCCCCCTGGGGTTTTCCAAGCCAAAGCCTGCAGCTTACTTTAAAAAAAAAAAAAAAAAAAAAAAAAAAAATTAAAAAAAAAAAAAAGCACTTAAGGAAAGTTACAACTACCAAAAAAACAAAAACAAAAAAACAAAACAAAAAAAACAGAAACAACCCACACACAAAATCCAAACCATTCTCCCATCTCCCCTCCCGCCTCCCCCCAACACAATACAGTTCATTTTCACTTTTTTCTTTCTTTTTAAAATCTTGCCTGCCACCTCTCCATCTAGGAAGCCAAGGGTACGGCCGCTGGTGGCTGGTGGCAGGCACACAGCGGGCAGAGCCGCATCTTTGGCCAGAGGGAGGTGGGAACACCCGTCCCTACTCCATCGTCAATCCACAGACGCCCATCAGCCAGCCTTCCCATTGGCTCCCACTAGGGGAGGGGTGGGCAAGAACAGGTGGTCCCGACGGCTGCGCATCGGCACTCCTGGCCGTGCCACCTGGCCTACCTCTGTGCCCGTCTCCAACTGAAAGGACGGTCTCATCTTGGGCCAGAAACCACTATTACATGAGGGACGGACACTATACATCTAGAATGAGGAAACTCGGTCAGGGCAGGGGAACTACAAAGACAGCAGCCAACTTTCTCCCTTGCCCGCTCCCGGAGGGAATCCCTCCTCAGAACGGCCCGTGGGCACAACCCAACGCCCTGTGGGTTCTCCATGACTGAAGTTCTGTTCCAGCTCTGCTCGCGGACAATTTCCTGGCTTCTCACGGTTATAAGGCTGTGCTATGGACTAGCTGCTGCTTCGACTGGCAGCCGGCCCTTCCTAAGCGGGAGGTGCAGCGGGCTTGCTGGGCCCGGCCTACATTCCCACAGGGCAGGGCTGAGAGCCAGGTGAACCAAAGGCGGAGTGAGCCTGCAAAACCGTGCTTGCCACCTTGGCCACCACAAGCTGCCCTAATCACAAAACGTCATACCGCCCACTCCAAAACTCATCCACTGAGCGGGGAGGCCATCCGGCTGGCTGAGGGATAAGGCGCAGTGCAACGGAAGAGACCAGAAAGCCTGAGAGGACCCAGATTGTACACACACACAGCTGCTCCGGGCAGTGCCCTCTTAGCCTCTTCCACCTTAAAGGGCCAAAGCAAATCTCTAGGCTCCAGGGACAGAGGGGGGAAACTGACTTCATTCCAAGCCCCCGCTCCGGAAAAATGGGTGAAGGGTCGCCTGGGTTTATGGGAAACCAGCCTGTCATCACCAATCTTTGCAATGCACAGCTTGCCTTTTCCCAAATGGATTCAGAATGGTCTGCTCCCAAGGTAGTGATTTCACAAAGGAAATGTACCAGGAACGGTTACTGAGCTGGTGCCATCCGCAGAGATGGTGCTCACAGACCCTCCGGAGTGGGAGGATCTCTCCACCTTCCGAACACACTAGGCAGGAGGCGCAAAGTCCTGGAGCCACTCTCTCCTGGCTCTCCTTGTGCTAACAGCCAAACACTGAGCAAGTCTCACACCCCTTACTTCTGAGCTCGGAGTGCATCTCAGTCCCTGCTCCCTTCTAGAAGGAGCAAGCCTGGCTGGCAGGAAACCGCCCTGAGGGGTATGGGAAGGGGAAGTCTGTTCACTTTCCCTAACTCCCAGAATACTAGAGGTGGGGTTAGCACCCTCCCCCAGGCTCTCTGAGCCTGTAGAGCTAGCCCAGTCTCAGATAGGGCCAAGATGCCCCTGGGACTCAGCTGGGGGAGGGAGGTATAGGCATGGGGTGCTCATCTGTCCTGGGGGCTGCAGAGCCCTGCCCCTTTTCTGGGCGGCAGTAGGAATACAGAAGCTAAGCTCACCAAAAACCTATTGGTTAATGTTTCTAGTGAATTTCCCAGAAACATTTTTAAGTAGACTACCAAACTACCCTTTCTCAATTAAAAATTCATTAAACTGCTAAAACCCCTCCCATGCACTTTTTCTTGCAAATCAGAGATTTGTATAAACAAACAAAAAATAGGAAGGAGAAAAAAAAAAAAAAAAAAGAAAGGATATTTTCAAATGGAACTTGCTTTTAAGTGATGAAAGACATGCACTTGGGGGTGGGTGGCGGGAGTTCTCATCTGTGTTTTGAAATCCCAAAATTAATGAGCATGATAAACTGTTATTGCTGGCACTGGCTTTACCCCAAGTGGCCAAGTGGCACTGTCTGACTCTCTACTGAGTCCTTTGCGGGTCCCCCCAACCCTCCCCTAACCCCCACCCTTTCCCTTTCCATTGACTTGGGACAGCCCTTATAGACGTGCCAATCACAGTGGGAAGGGGGGGGGAAGGAGGGAGGTCACAGTGCATGGGGTTCAAGGTCACAGTGGGCGGAGCAAAGGGGAATCACAGTGCAAGTAAGTCAGGTCGTTCCCTCTGCTCAAGTCCAGCTGTCTGCCACGGCAGTGCGACCCGTGGCGGACGACCCAAGAGGCGGTGACGGCGGCAGCGGCAGCATCCTTTCCTGCACGCATTTATCTGCGTTGTTTGAAGCCTTGTGACCCATCTGGACCCAAAGGCTGTCTGATCACATTATTGGGCTGCCTGCTGTCCTCGGGTTGGGAGATCCTGGTTGGCCTGGAGGGAAGAAGATCAGAGGGAGGCCTGAAAAAGGACATCAAAGAGGTCCCCAAATCTTTTTTCTTTTTTTTTTTTTTTTTAACTTTTTTAACGTTTATTTATTATTGAGACAGAGCGTGAATGGGGAGGGGCAGAGAGAGAGGGAGACACAGAACCCGAAGCAGACCCCAGGCTCTGAGCAGTCAGCACAGAGCCCGACGCGGGGCTCGAACCCACGAACTGCGAGATCATGACTTGAGCTGAAGTCGGACGCTTAACCGACTGAGCCACCCAGGCGCCCCAAAGACGTCCCCAAATCTTAAAACCAAATCTTAAAACTGCAGCTGGGGCAGAGGCCAAAGTGGCTATCAGCCAACTCTGGCTCCCTGACCTCACGTCTCTGACATGTGGACTCAGGGGGCCTTGTTCCAAGCTGGGAAGCCCCCATGGGTAGGTGGGACAGGTGGTCTACATTCACCTTGAGTGCTAACAGCGCTTCTTCCCCGAATCTAGAGGGCAAGGGGAGCGCTCAAGGGCCCATCTTGTCCAGAGGCAGTGACCTCAGGCAGCTCAGCCCCCACAGAATTGCGTGGCACAGACTTGTCAGAGTATCAAGCAAAGGTGAAGCCCCCAAAGCAAGAGCTCAGCAGAGGGATCCAGCATCAGCCACTGCTGCCCTCTTGCTTCTCTCCAAATTATGAGGTTAATGGTTGACTCCTATTGACACAGAAGACTAAAAGGGAACAGACTTTTTCTACTCTGCCAAGTGAAGGCTTAGAGAAGAAAAGTCTATCCAACTAATGGAGGGATGGGAAGAAGGTGCAAGCCCCAGAACAGCTAGCCCAAGGAGGCCTCCCAAAGTCGGAAAGAGGCTATTTAAAAAAAAAATTTTTTTAACGTTTATTTATTTTCGAGACAGAGAGAGACAGAGCATGAACGGGGGAGGGTCAGAGAGAGAGGGAGACACGGAATCCGAAACAGGTTCGGGCTCCGAGCTCTCAGCACAGAGCCCGACGCGGGGCTCGAACTCCCGGACCGCGAGATCGTGACCTGAGCCGAAGTTGGACGCCCAACCGACTGAGCCACCCAGGCGCCCCAAGAAAGAGGCTATTTTAACAAACACTGCTTTAGCTTTAGCAAGAGGTGACACGTTTACATAATGCAACCTCTAGGACTGCAAAGAAAAAAGTGCCAGGGACGAAAAAGGATTCAGAAAATCCATAAAACATTACAAAGAGCTATTCTGAGACCCAGAAGATAACATCTAAGCACTTCACGGGGCGCCATCCACTGTGCGAGGTGAGGTTCTCAGAATGCCACGCTCATTTACTTGTACAACGAGTTGACGGGGCAGGTACTGTGTCATCCCATTCCCCCCATACGTTAGGCTATGAGGGGACAGAGAGGTCAGGCAGCCCTAAGTGGAAGGAAATGGCAGATTCTGACCCAAAGTCCATGCCTTTAACCTCCATGCCACACCGCCCCCCGGTGCCTGCAGAGGCAGCCCGCCAGCAAACCACAGCCTCAAAGCTTGTGGTCCTGAGCCAACGCAGCAGACACTGAACTTGCCCACCAGGCCAGGGCCGGCAGCTGGAGCCGCCCTGGTTCCAGCCCCGATTCTGCCTGCTTCTCATTCCTCCACGTGCAGCCAGGCCGCCCCCCCTTCTCCCCTGTAAGGTGGTCGGGCAGAGTGGTCGATGGTCAGCCCTGCCAGCTACACTCACCTGTCGAGGATGGGTTTTTCCTGTTCCTCCTCGGGGCTGGCACTGCCCAGGATCCGCTTCCGGGCCTCGGCGTACTCTGCCTCCCGCTGTGCTAGGGACTTGACAGGAAGGGCTGGCCTGCTGGTGGAGTTGGGGCTGCTGACCACACCGTTGCTGGTGGGCCTCTTGAGGATGCGGATCTGTGGAGGGGGCCCCGTGGGAAGGCTATCGTCCTGAATCACAATGGGCACTTTGGGAGGAGATTTGGATTTCCTGCTGACAAAGAGCAAACAGAGCTTCACAAGTCCTACCCCTGACTTCGGAGGCCCCATCCACGTCCCTCAACCACCCCCATCACCTTCCCCTCCCTCCTCCTAATTCTACCCGTTGTTCTCTGGCCTCAGACCAGACAGCAGAACTCTCACTCCTGGGCGTCTCAAAAGAGCAACCTTGCCACAAGCTCACGTCGTCCTCAGGCCTGCTCCTCAGACCTCACCCCAGGCAAATGGGGCGGGAGCACCATCTCATTCTGGGACTTCTACACCCGGGTTCACAGTCGCACCAACCACTGTTTGCCCCTGTGGCAAAACATTTCGTGCCCAGACTTCCCTACACACAGAGCAGAGTGTAACAGGCTGGCGTAGCAGGAGCCCTTAGCTTAGGGGTCAGCAAAGTGTTCGCTCCAGCCACAGCCTTCCACATGTGCCCACACCAGTGAAACACTGCAAAGGAGCCCACTCCACCGTCCCTGCCTGGCATCAGGATAGGATTTACGAAACTGCCTCAGCCTTCTGGTAAGTGACCTGTGCCTCCCAGAGACCAGCTACACCAGACAACTGGGTCATCTCTCCAGAAGAGGTTCTGAGCAGAGACACCTCCCTCACCCGGGCTCTCTGGTATCCTGGACGCGGCGGGGCTGGGGTGAAGGACGATCCCAGAGACAGTGCTTGACATTGCTCAGAGGAGAAGCACTGTCCAAGGCTGTTGGGTGTGCACATCAGGCAACGAGTCCACAAGGAGAGGTGGAAAACAACACAGGAGAGGGAAAGAAACAAGAGAAAAAAGGGATCCGGGCAGGAGTGACCACCTCTCAGTAGCCACAAAGACCCTCCCCAGAGCAGCCAACTAGCTTCTCTTCAGAACCAAACAGCCTGCAGGGGGCCTGTTTTCAGAGCCACGGTTGTCAGGAGGGGAAGGGGCTGGTGAACTCAGCTGCCGCCAGGGGAGGTCCCGGGGGGGACAGGAACAGTGTGGCAAGGGGACTGTAACCAGACTTCAGTGCAGCTGCTGAGACGAGCAGACAGACAAGGAGCCAGCAATCTGATCAAAGAGGCAGGAAGCCAGGAAACTAGCAGGCAGGCAGGGCACCCCGGCGTCCCCTGGGGAATGATAAGTCCAGAGAGGTCCTCTCCTCCTCCTCCCTGTTGCTAGTCCCTGTGGGAAGCCAACAAGTTACTTAAGCCCAAAGTCCGACTGCTGAGGTCAATTTCACCTGCTCTGAAACCCACCTTCTCCCCTGTCGGGGGGTGGGGGTGGGGGTGGGGTATCCTTAAAAAGTCTTCGAGAATTTCTGAGCATCTTTTCTTCCAGAATACCCCCACAATGCCCTTAGCCACCACGTCACAGAGGGCCCAGAGAAATCATCTGCCCAATCTCGTTATGTCACAGAGAAAGAAACTGGTGTCCAGAGGGCAAAACAACTTGTCCCAAACCTCAGAGCAACTGGAACACAGCCAGGCCTAAAACCTAAGTTTTCTGACTCACCACCTCCCCACTTTCTACCAGACCACCTCACACAGGGTACACACGAAGCCAGAAGGCAGATGTGACACTCCAGCCTTACTCTCAAAGCCTCAAACCACCATGTCCTTGAGGGACACGCTCAGAAGCCTGCCCGGGAGCCTGCCCTGCTAAACCTAATGGCCACCTGGACAATACCACTGACTGCCCAGCTCTCACACGGCAGAGCATGAGCCCTCGGACCAGACAGCAGCCTTACCTCTCCTTTTGTGTGATCTTCAGTTTTTTTTCCAACCGTCTGTCTATTTCCTAGAGGAAAAAAATGTATATAAAAAGTGGAAAAAAATCTCTCTTAGATAAAAACTTATGTCTTTATTTTCAGAGCTAAGGATGGTGTCCTCTGACCAGGGACATTACTGTTTCCTTTGAGGTAACGGATGCAGACCTCCCTTTACTAGACTCTGGGGCTCGGGAACTGACTCCCTGAGGGTTCATCTCCCTCCATCCCCATGGCCACGGTGATACTTCTAGACCTCATCATGCAGCTGGGTTCTTTGTATAGCTTCCAACTAGTCTCCTAGCCTCCAATCTGTCCTTCACAGAGCCACTCAAATCAACTCTGTAAACACAAATCTGGTTGTTTCCCCATTAAAACCCCCTAGACCGCTTGTCAGATCAAGTCCAAGTTCCTAAGCACGCCTCACCCACACCTTCTTTATCTTCTGTTCCTGTTTTACATCACTGTGAAACTGAGCTGTTACTAACCCCCAGAACCCCGCACGCTGATCCACCTTCCCTTGGCCAACTTCCATTTCTCCTGCGACACCCAGCCTGATGTCTGCCTCTCCTTGGTAAAGTCTTCTCTGGTCCCGTACAGTTAATCACCTGCTTCTCAGACATAAGCTCTCCCTCTTCTACATTCCTTCATAATCACATGTATCACAAATGTATAGCCTTGGGGGGGGGGGGGGGGGGGGGGGGGGGGGGGGGGGGGGGGGGGGG